AAATAAGTCTTTTTCAAAACAACACTGCTTATTCTAGTATGATATCTTGTTTCTGGGTGATACAATGCTTAACTTCCCCTCTAGACTATAGCAGGGACAGGGTATCTCAAACCTGCTTGGATACATGTGGAAGGTATTGAGGTTTCCTAATCAATATTTTCAGCATCTGAATTTTAACAGGATATACAGAAAAATACCCTGGGAAGAGTCAGATTCCCAAAGAGCACACACTCCTCTCTGATCCCTCCAAACACTGCTCACCAAATACCACTTTTCAGCCCAATTCAGTCTACTTTTTCCCAAGATGCCAAAGCTTTGCCAAAATTTCCAAGTCAAACTGGAAGGAAAAAAAAATTCTAATTCTTCTGAGGAGTCTGTAATAATTTTTTTTTTAGGAGTTTCCATTCTTAAAACATGCATCCTTCTTAATAACTCACTACTTCATACAGTATCTGCAGAGCCTGTTATCTAGTTGATGGAAAAGAAAATGATTCTCCTCCATTGTTACATAGTATAACAATGTCTGAGGAATATTTGTCAGGGAAAGCAACAGAAAAATACACAGTCAGCAAAGAAGAAAGGAAACCACCATGTACAGAGAATAAAAGGAAGCAAAATAGTCACTTCTCAATAGGAAACTTAAAGATAATTCATGGAAAGTGCATAATTTTCTTTTTACATTGAAAGCCATCTTACAGTAGAAGAGTCTTAATATATCCATGTAGTTAATAGAAGAGGATATGTAAAACAGGTGACAATAAAAGAGTCCTAAGAGGATAACCCCAATTCTAAGACTATTTCAGTCAAAATTTTGCAAGCCGAATGTTTTAAACTAAATCTACATGTAGGCAATGACATAAGTGGCCTGAGTATCAGGAGTGTTGACCACCTGTGGCTTCCATTGATCCTCTAGTCAGCTTAGCAAGCCTGAAAATCGTGTCATTCTGTTTGGGTCTCTGAAAATGGATCTAGTGACTAACTTTAAGAACTCAGCTTTCATGTTTATAGTACTCAGATTGCAACAAGCAATTTGGATCCAAGTAAACTTAAGTTTGCTGGAATCAAGTAGCAGATCCATTATGGCAAGAACGGGGGGTGCAGTAACAGATGTCTGTGCACATGCAGTGAGCTCACTGCACCTGCACCTGGCAGCTGAGACTGGAGCTCTTGGCAGTGAACTGGCAATGAAGAAGGGTGACGGCACCACCACATTCTTGCTTGGACCCACCCCTGCTGGAATCTATTGCATTAATTCCAATGTTAACCCTATTGTCTGTATAAGGGCAGATTAAATCAGAGGTCAACAACCACAGCCCACAGACCAGTTCCTGCCTGTGGAGCTGTTTGACCGACCTACAGTTGTGGAGCTTCAGTGGCATTTGGTGGAGGGGGGGCCTCAGCTGTGATTGCTTTCCCCCATGCTGCCACAGAGAGAAGTGACAGCCTCAGGAGCTCCCCCTTCCGTATCCTGCTGCAGGGAGAAGTAGTCACAGTAGTGGCAGCAGCTGGCTCATAGCATCTGCCCAACTGCCTGCCTTTGACCTGAGCTGGGTCATTCTGGCCTGCAGCCTATAAAAGTTGCCAACTGCTGGACTAAATTGTTAAGGCATATGGGGAGGAATAAATCCAATCTGGATTTTAGGTCAGATTGTTTCAGAGAGCTGATGTGACCAAAGAAGAAAAAGAAAGAGAAGGGGGTCCTGCCTCATTCAGACTTTGCTGTACTGTGGAGCCAGTGAATCCTGATGCAAAAGGGCCTGAATATACCCCACCAATCTGCACCCCACGTATGATCCAAACCCAGAAGTTTGCTGGTAAGGATGCTTGAGGTCATGCCTTTGAGGCTTCTCTTTACCCTCAGCCTCCAGCATGTCAGAGACTAACAGCTGGGGATGAACCTGGAGCAGGTTAATTGATATTCTTCTGGGTTTTGGAGCATCCTGTCAGGCCCAGTAGGAAGGGGATGCTTGTGTTGAGATTTCCTGGTATCATGGTATAGTTAGGCCTTCACAAACTTAAATGGCCACTCCCCCCAGATTGTCATATTCATTAATCACATCCCATTGTATGTAGGTGACCAGTTGTCTCCCTCTTTTCTTTTTAAACCTGGAGGGAGGGTTGCCTATCTTAGCACAGGAGTCTGATGGATAAATCACTTGCCCAAGAACTGCAGGGAGACCTGACTTCTAGAACCTCCACAGCCAGAGTTCCTAAATTCTAGGAGCAGAGGTCCTAGACCCTCTGCTTTGACCTTCCTGGAAAGTATCCTAACCACCTGGCTGTGGGCTGAGCTAGGCTAAAAGCACTCTTAACCCTTCCTGGTGGTGCTGGCTCATTGGAAGCCAAGAGTGCAAGAGTCTTGGAGTAAGAGGAACATTCAACAAGCAGAAGCTTGATCCTGTAGTTCAGTTTGAAGAGAACTCTCCTGAGAAGGAGGGAGCAATGGGCTCTGCCCATGTATTTTGCATGTAATAGTTATTGAATAAAATATGTAAATTTCATTAGCAATTATTCTGTTGTGAATCTCACCCTAAGGTCCCTCATTAATTCATAAAGACTTCAGGCTCATTTACATCTCCAGTGTGGAAGCACTTCATGGCAAAGGAAATATTAGGTCTTATTGAGAATAATATGAACTTGCATATTTCGTGGGAGCAGAATTTTCTATCAGTTTTATTACAACAATTAACACTATATATAAGGGCTTTTAAGGCACATTAAGTGCCACGTTGAAATAGGGGGACCTTGAAAGACCCATTTATATAAAGAATCTTGTCCAAGTGGGTAATGGAATATTGGGCTAATTTCAGAAGAAATCAATAGTATGTTTCTCCCTTTTTTCTGTTCTTCAAGCTTAAAAATCACTGTTTGATCATGAAAGGGACTGAGCACCCAAATTTAACAGGGATGATAGATGCTTGGCTTTTTTCACGCTGTGCACTGATGAACTCTCTTATTCTCTAATACACATTGCTGAGGTTTGCAATCCAACCCTCACATGGAGTTTCCTGGCTGGCAGTTTAATCATGTAGAAAATACCACTACATGCAGTCCAGAGCATGTCATCTGGAATACTGCAGCTACATTTCAGTGCATCTGTGCTCTCAGTAGAGTAGAGGGAAAAAGAATAGAATAAGGAGCTTCATTACTGCAGAAAATCTATAATATACAACCTACAATATTCACTTATAGTACAGTTTCAGGAACCAAACTTGAGAAGAAAATTAAAGTTCTAACCCTGTTCTGTTCTGAACTAAGTGACTCACAGGCTAGTCTAGCTTACACCTAACTGCCAGTGGCTTTCAGGGTGTGGATGGATGTTATATTTGTAGGACAATATATGTCCTTGTAGTGCTATAAAAAGGTTTACAGGTGTGCATCCCACGTATAGCACTACAAAAATGGGACAAGTGCTGGTTGAAACAGGACCTTCTCTGTAGTGCCATATTCTTGAGAACTATACATAATGTCTGTATATTCATATGTAGTGCTACAAGGAGGTCTCTTGCTGCCCCACCATCTCACAATGCTCTGCTCATGCCCCCACTCCTTGAGAGAGGAAGAGAAAATAGCTGGATCAATGAGAGCCCACCAAGGAGCAGAACCGCAGTCCAGCCAGGATTGGAGGTTGCAGCTCCGCTTACTGCAATAGAGACCACTGCTCATGCCATAGCGAGGGCAGCAAGGATCAGGGAGGTCAACGTGGTGTCAGAGAGCCTGCTGAGGGAAACCACTGCCGCAGGAGGGTGGTGAGAAGAGCTGCTGCTGCTCCTATCCCAGTCCCCAGGGCAGAGCAGAGCTGCAGCCCACCCAGGATGGGGCTGTGCTGTGGGGGTAAAGGTAAAGCTGAGAGCAACCCTTTATCACGCCCTGGCTGAGTACACATCACTGAATGCTTTTGAGGCAACTTTGTAATTCTCCAGCCAGGGGGCTTTGCATGTCTGTCCCTGCCTGGTACTGCTACATTTTTGCAGCACTTCAAAAGTGCTGCAACACCTGTAATGCTATCTATGAACATCTGCCTTGGTCACAGGAACTCCTTACAGAAGGATCAATTGCTGTGGTATAAATGCATCCCAGCGAATCCCCTCTTCTTCAGGCGCCTGGGGTTCTGCAGAGAAATGCCACCCAGCTCTTTCTTAACCTGGCAAAACCTTCTGCTGCTCAGTTAAAGTGGCATTCAGCTACTTTGCATAACCAGATCAGTACAAAGCCACTGTGATTTTATCTAGTCTTTAAAGACTTTCTCTAAAGAAATGCCAAACATAGACATTGATTTACTGCCTCTGAATATGGATTATTTTAATAAACCAGTACATATGAGCAGGTGTAATCTGTTTTAAACACTAGCTAGTTACTAAAGGCCTGATCCTGTATAGGTGTGAAATTTGCCATTTAGTTCTCTGAGAAGACAGGCATTTAATGGGGGGAAAATCCATAGATATGATTCTCTGTTATGCAGTCAAGGCATAACTTGCTCCTTGGTGAAAAGAGATTGATATCATGGAGAGTAAAAATGGTGACTCATAAGTAAGGCATAGTGCAGTGTTTTCCCAACCTTTTCCAGCCCAAGGCACGCTTACATTAATAATTTTTTTTCTGCAGCACACTTGTTAAGGCATTCCCCATCCTCACACTCATTTTACCTCTCACTAAGTCAGCCTGGCAGGCCTGTGACAACATACTCTGTTTCCACTTCAGGATTACACTGTTTCAGACTCAGTTGCTGGACAGACACTCCTCAGAATGGTGAACTCTTACAGTCTAATCCATAGCCCATTGAAGTTCATGGAAAGAGTCCCACTGAATCTACTGGGTTTTGGATCAAGTCCTACTTAGCTTTTATTTCTAAATTTACTATTTCATATTAGCCAGCTGTTTCAGAAATCTTTTGTATCATTCTTGTCTGCTGCTATGTCAAAGTTCCACAGGCAAACACTTTTTAAAGGTTTGTATTTAACATTCAAATAGTTCACAACTATTTTTCTTTCATTTTTCAGAGCTTACATATGAAGAAGTGATTAGCTTTAAACCACCTGATTTAAAAATGGATAGTCTGGAAATAGAACAGTAAATACAGCTATGTTTTGCCTTGCTGCACTCTGAAGACTGTTAAATATATTACAATTTAACATATGTTCACAAGAGTAGATTTTACTATCCAAAGATTTTGGAGAAGATATGGAAAAGCAGGTGAATGAAACTGAAGCCAGGTGTCTATTTTGAGGTCTTTTGTTTCTTGGGGGTTTTTTGTTGGTTTTTTTTGGTTTGGTTTGTGTTTTTGCCTTGTACTATGAATGTAATCCCTCATAAAAGGTGATAAAGAAATGCTTCATTCTGATAAAATGATGCACTGAGTTATGTTTAACTGTGTTTTCTGCATGTTTTACTTTTTCAGTTGTAATGCCAGAAATGAAGGTAACTTTATTATTTGAAATTGTACAGTTAAAGCGTGAATGTATGCAAACATCAAGGTAGAAGCCCATACAAGCAACCCATTTTTTCCTGGCATTAACCTTATTTTATCTGGTTTGTTTTCTTTTGTTTTACTTCGTTTTATTTATAGCTAGTGCCTTTATGAAAAGAGGGCATAGTAGAGAGATAGACATAATATGCAACTGTAGTCGTATCTGTGGTGGTCTTACAAACATATTGGATGTCTCTTGAATGGTCTAACACCAGTTGGAAGTCAACGAATAAATCTGTCTTTTGTTGCCATTGAAGAATCTGTTCTCATTATTTTTCCGATAGTCTTTTAATCTGCTGAGTCTAAGTGTGTGAGACTTTTAATTTGTGGTGCTACTATAGGTCATTTCATCACAGGTGTCTTGGTAAATTTGCACAAATTACAAGAATTCACACTGCAGGGAACTCCTACAGTCTTCCAGAAACCTCACATGTGCTGTTATAAAGATACTGTATTCAGGTCACAGCTTTGGACTCAGTATTCCCTTATTGTTTTCTTTTCCTTCTCTTAGCCTTGAGAGACTGACATAGCATTTGAGATTAACAAAACAAAACAATAATAAGGTTTAAAATTGGACATATACAAATAGTTTGGACATTTGTAAAAATCAAAATATTGTAATCTCAACTTTGAACAATATTCTAAGAGTACTGAGAGCTCTGAACAGCTGAACAATTTAAATTTAAGATAATAAATAGTACGATATATCAGATGCTACTATAGCTTAAAGAATTAACATTATAATTTAATTTACCCACTTGGAAGTATGATACTAATAAAAAAAAATTATTAACAACCTTTGGTATACAGCTTCTTGTGGTCAACAGCGGTGTCATTTTTAATTCACAATTGACTGTATCAGTGGATGCTATTCATTTTTATATGGTTTGTCTGTTGTTTCACTGTCTCTTATTTTGAGATGTCATTTTATATTAATTTATTACTTCCTTTTGCCTTGATATTTTGTTGTTAGGTTGCATCGCACAACTAATATTTGAACAGATGAGTTCTAACACATTTGTTTATTTTCGCTGTATTTTAGCTGTGTTGATTTTTTTTTAAAATAATTGACTACTCAAGAAACAAAAGCCAATGTCTTTCTTCATGACAGTGTACTATCATCTATCACTGATATAACCCAAGTAAAAATCTATGAAAACTATATCTTTGGGGTAATTTTTCTAGGAAGGTAAATAAAGATTTATTACATGACAATATAATCTTATTTATGAAAACTTGTTTTCTAGATAAGCTTAGTGCATTGTATTAAGGTAACTGAGACACTTCGAAGTACTACAGAAATATATATATAGAAACCTTCAAGTTTCCTGACTGGAGAGCTGCAAAGTTGCTATGAAGGGGAACCAGGGGCAATAGGGGGATGCTGTGCCCTGGGCTGTTAATAATCAGCTGGAAGCTGCCATCTGTGTACCTCAGTATGTTTGCTTTCTTGTAGTGCTATGAGCATATTTAGTGCAGCGGATGTAATGCATATCCATGGCCTGAAATTCAGTAGAACATGACCAAAAGAACTCATTTATCCTCACAATTTATTTATCTAAAAATAATTTCTTAGTGCTTGATCCAAAGTCCATTTAAGTCAATGGAAGTATGTGGATCAGGCCATAGTGGCCACTGAATGATTGCTTATGATTTTGTGTTACTGCATTTATGGCCTGATTTAAGTTACAAAATCGTGATTATCTCCAAATATCTCATTTACTTTATATTTTTTATTTTCCTGATTTTCTTGCAACACTTCACTGTTGATACCGTTGGTTCCCTCACCTGCCGTACCTCTACTGTAACTCAGATGAGCAAGAAATAGTAGTATCCAAAAATAGGAAGATTTTGCATGTAGATGGAAGGAATCCAACATAGGAGCATAGAAATTGGCAATAGATAAGTGCCAAGGTGCCTCTAGAGCAGTATCTTGTCTCTGACTATGGCCAGCACCAGATGCTCCAGAAGGAGGAAGTAGCAGGCAGATACTGTGACCCCAGGATCAGGATCCTGATCTCTACTAATTAGAGATCATATAAACCCAGAAACGCATGGTTTAATCTGCCTTCCAAAATTGCTCGCATTCATTAGGACAATTCTGGATTATCTTCATATTCCTAGAAATAGCCAATCTAAGGGAAGAGTTATGCAATTCTGCTTTGTGCTTGAAAAAGTTATCATTCTTCCACCAGATAGGTTCATTGCTAAAAATATTCAGTACAAATGTGTTCACAGTTACAGTTAAACTAAATGACACACTGGCATATAATAAAAGATAACACAAGCTCAACTATTTTGATGGATCATCGAAAGACACAAATTATCATCTCACAATAATGACTAGAAAAATGAAAGTCAGCTTTCATTACTCAGACTTGAAAGATCTGGAAGAGATTTCTTGGAATGTCTGTGACTTCACTAAAAACCCAATAATCAAAATACAGCCACTCCTTACTTAACATTATAGTTACGTTTTTTGGAAGTTTTGCTAAAAACATCTTTATTTTTCTTTTTTCATCAGATGTTGCTTGTTTGGCTCAAATGATGTTCACAGTGTTTGAAGTAGTGGTGGCCTGTTATGATTACTTCTTTAAATTCTGAAGATGTTTGCAATAACTTTAGTCAAGTTATTGCAAAGAACTATTTATTATACTTCACTACAGGGGTGTAGGTTGTAGCCGTGTTAGTCTAAGGACATGGAATCTTTCATTCCATCCAGGAAGAGCACACACCAACTGCTGAAACTTCCTCAGCCTGACAAAGGGTTTTTGAACCCGAAAGCTTGCTTAAAAATTGTTTTCCAACTGTTTAAGTTGGTCTAATAAAAGATACCAGATTCACCCGAAGAACCTTGTTATACTTCACTATACACTGTATACAAGTGTTCTTTTGCCAAGAATATAATGGATTTACAATTTTTAAGTTTTAAAGAGACCGTTGTGATCATCTAGTTTGACCTACATAATAAAGGCAATAAGAATTTCCTCACCTTCCTGAATTAATTCGTGCTTCAAGTTCAGTAACTGTGGGTGAATGTGAAAACATATTTTAAGCATAAATTTTTAACATTTCTAGAGATGGAGAATCCATCATAATCCTTTGTAAATTGCCCTAGTTGCCATTTTCTCTCTCTCTTAAAACCTTGCAGTTTATTTCTAGTCTAATTTTGTCTACCTTCAAATTTCAGCTGTTGGATCTTGTCTATAGCTATGACATACCAGTGTTTTGTGCAAAACTGAGAAGGCTTTTTATCATTTCTAATTTTTGTCAATTTTAAAAGTAATGCCAAATCCAGATTTGGGAGCTATAGGAATTGGATTCAGAAAAGGAATTCATTACTTGAAGGCAAAGGTGCAAACACTATTGGGAGATTGTATCCCAAGTAAGAGGAGAGAGATTATAAGAGGAAGAAATTGGTAGGAGAGGGCTACAGGCCTACTTTCATGACCAACCACTTTAAACAGGCTGTTAAAACTAAGCAGAGGCTCTACAAGGAATGGGTAAAGGAAGTGGTCATTCAGTGGTCAAGGAGTGCAGAAATAAAGTGAAAGTGAGGTTTAGCTGAGTTAGCCCATACACAGAAAAAAAATTTAA